GTTTGAAACTAAATAATAATAAGTATTTTCATCGTGGTTTTATTTATTACAATCATAGGCCTATTCTTTCACCATCATTACACATTGAGGCCCTTCTTTTAGGTAAAACGATCTATCTTAAATTTTCTATCTTGAGTTTGGGTCTATGTGTTATAACTTAGAAAAGCAAAGGAAAGCAAGCTTAATCTTTAACATGAAGAAATGCGCGCGAAGCGCGCGAAAAATTTGTGTGTTTTTTAATTCTAATTTCGTCGGAATTGATCAAAACTCCCTAAAATGTGCAATTTTTAGAGGAAATTGGCCTACCTCAACAAAATATGCGATTTAAAATTTGAGATTTTCAGGAATTTTCTCGGATGAAAAGGGCATTCAATGGGGAAAGATTTTCCACTGATGGATATTTTCCCCTTGTCCCCGGCGGTTACGCCACTGCGGAGAATACCTGGCGACTTAGATCAAATGCGATATATACACTTTTTGAAGTGGAGAAGGGGTTTGAGGCCGGGGTATTGTGATATCTGTTCATTATATCTTCCTTTTTATTCTTGTCTTCATTTTTCTCTTCTCCTTTTCTTTTTCTTTCCCCTTCGTTCTTTTTTCCTCCCGCTCTCCCCTCTTTCTTCTCTCTTCTTACCCAGCCCGGTACGACGGCTTGGTCAGCCCGGTAAAAACCGACAGTCTGTCCCCCCCCCGACCCCCTGCCTGTTACGCCACTGCTTATAAGATGAATGGGAATATGAATCATGCAGATCTGCAATCAAATCTAGGTGGTGGGGTCAACATTCCTCTCCCGGGAAAATTTTGATTTCTAGATGGCGGGAAATGACCTTTCTCGACTTTTGAGATAGGTGTCTAATGACTTTGTTCTTCAAAATTCAAGGTTTTCCCCTCATGATCGAAAACGGTACGGTAAGGTAAACTTCCTCATTACAGTAAATAGGCCTGTTATGTGTGTATACATACATTTAAAAAAAAATTGAGTAGTTGCATACGATTTTTTCCATGAGATGAATCCCAAAAAGAAAGGAGGGTCCGGGGTTTTTCCCCAGGAAAATTTTGATTCCTAGAAAGCGGGAAATGAGCTTTCCCGACTTCTGAGGTGTCTTTTAAATTAAAGTCATTAAAAAATACTTCAGAAGTCGGGAAATCTCCTTGTCCACCATTTATAAATCAACATTTTCCCGGGAAGAACTCGACCTCCCTTTCTCTGGGTTCATTGATTTATTATAATAATTTTAAAGAGGGGAACACCTTGAAACTACTCTTCATCTGTAGGTAAAAATTCACAAGGGTCACTATAGTGAAAATTATCAAGTATTTCTAGTGACTAACGATTGAACCAATTGCATTAGACAGACTCCTACCAAACATGGGGTGTTCACAGGTAGAGGTTAAAGGTCACTGTGGTTATCTCTTAAAAAATGACTGGGTTCATGTTCTATTTAACATAGTCCTTTGCACATATACATTAGATTAAGGCAAGGTCTATAAGGTGTTCATGGATAAGGGGTCAAAGGTCATTAAGGGGTAATTTTTATATTTTTTCTGGCAACATTTCAAAATGCTACTAGTGCCAAACGGTTGTGCCGATTTCAACCAAACCTGGTCAGTATGATCGGGGACACCTCTCGTACACGGGGTGTTAACTGCTTGGGATCAAAGGTCACATAGAGGTCATTATGGTAAAAAACTTTCAAAAAAATTAATAAATGACTTCCTTTGTCACAAATAACATAGCACAGTCTTGTCCTGGGCACATATGTATTGGCATAAGGTAGGGTCTTTATGGTGTTCAGCGATTTACGGTCAAAGTTCATTAAAGGGTTATTCTTTTGTTCTCTCTAGTAACATTTCAAAATGCTACCAATGTCAAACCATTGGACCAAATTCAATCAAATTTCGTCATTAAGAACCGGCGACACCTCCTACACCCCAGTCTGGGATCAGGGGTCACATATGGGTCATCGGGGATAAATTTTCAAAATAGCCCAATTGAGCTTAAATTTACCAGGAATGATCTTTAGGACCTCCTAAACAAGAAAAAATATACAATACTCTTCACCCCATATGTCAAAGTTCATAGGTCAAATGTTCAAAATGTTACTAATGGCGAACGATTGAACCGAATTCAATCAAATTTGATCATTAGGAACCAGTGACACCTCCTATGCCCCTGTCTGGCATCAGTGGTTACATAAGGTCATCGGGGTCACATTTTCAAAATAGCCCAATTGAGCTCGTATTTACCAGGAATGATCCTTAGGACCTTCTAAACATGAAAAACTACTCTTCACCTATAGGTCACAAGGGTCACTATAGTGAAAATTATCAAATATTGCTAGTGACTAACGATTGAACCAATTGCATTAGATAGACTCCTACCAAACATGGGGTTGTTCACAGGTTGAGGATAAAGGTCACAGTGGTTATCTTTTAAAAAATGACTGGGTTCATGTTTTATTGAACATAGTATCTCTAGTTATTATTACCATTATTATTACCATTATTATAATAATATCAATAATTTTAATAGTTATAATAACTATTATAATTATTATAATAATAATTATTAGTCCTATAATTGTTGTTGTTGCTGTATTTGTTGGTGTTATTATTTTATCACCATCCTTACCGAAACCATCATAGTCTTCCTATGTAATAGCCACTTACCGTCCATCCACCGTCATCTGTTTCCATATCACAGTATACAGGCCGCGGGTTGTTCTCACCTTTCGGATAGATAATGTAAATTCCGCTGTGAAAACCCACGCCTATCTTCAGCAAGTCACTACAATCGCTCAGCTGAAATTATATAACATTACCAATAATTATAATCATTGTCCCACGCATGCACGAAACGACCATAATACAGGAGTCTCATGACTATTAAATTCTTTATTGGTTTAATACAAAAAAAAATACATTAATATATTTTGATTGCCGATATTTGCCACATACAGCTACGGTCTTTATTGCATATAAACAAAATCAAGGAGAGTTCCCTCAATAAATATAACTATATAAAACAAAATCCCCCCGTAAATTTTAGGATTAGAGGATTATGAAGCTTTCTCATTATTAAGGTACATATTGAAATTGGTAGTAGTACATGCTGTTTTCAAGTCGTGTCAAGCAATGATGTGCTATAGAGAATAGATATGAATATGTATTATATAATAAAATGTATATATATATATATATATATATATGTATATATATTATATATATAAACATGTCCATAATAGCAGCTCAGGTTAAACACATGTCAAGTTTCCATGCAAAGTATATGATGTGTAAAGTCTGTAATAAATTACCATTCATTGCCTTACTTTAACATATTTAATACATACATTCTAGAATAACATTTAATTGAGCGAACAAACAAGTGTAAACAACATTGGTAATTATAGGAACACATGACACCATGTAGAATCCAAGAGTAATATTTGGAAGCTTCTGGAATCTTGGGTACTTTAGAGGCAAATAAGCCTAATTGGTTGATTATGATGTAAGGCATGGGCGTCGGTCGGTGGGGGCAGGGGGACACGTCCCCCCACTTTTCAAAGTAGGGGGGACATCATTTCGATTGTGTCCCCAATTTTCACAAATCTTCTATAATTAAAATCCCTCTTTAAAATCGAATGGAAAGAATAACAATTACGCATGACTCATGAATTTTGTCCGTTCAGTTTTCCAAGTGTGGTACGTATTTTTGCGGACCAAAACCGAGTAAAAACGCAATGGTTTATACATTTTGTAACCATCTCAGAAACCAATAGATCGATTTTATGGGTGCAGCGGTTATCAGAGGGTAAAATTATTGTGAAAACAATGTACTGAACGTTGTTAAAATTGGAAGCGTGTATGCTTATTAGGCCAATATTTTTTACAAACTCAAAAGTGCACAATTTCTACTATAAACGATTTATTCCTTTTGTATATTATTATGACCCGTACGTATATACTTGTGTTTAATATTATCTACATACATATAGGATTACTGTTTTACCTGATTTAAAAAAAAATATAGTTGGTCAATTGAATTTTATATAGCCATTATTAAATAATAATTAAACAGCCTTTGGTGAGTCGAATGGCCGAGCGGTTAGCAGGGGCGCCGCAAGCTATAGCCATAATATCGGCACTGGTTCGAACGGCACGCTCGCCTATGGTTCTGGTGGTAGAACAAGTCTTCTCGGATAAGGACTATAAACCGGGGGCCCAGTGTATACAATGGCTCGTGTGCACTATAAAGAACCCAGTATAATCCTTCGAGATGAGTAGGGGGATACCCCGGTGTACTGGAACAGACATGCCCTGTGGTGGACGACAAGAGTTGCTGGTACCGGGTAACCGGGTAGCACAGACACGAAGGGACACTTAGGGGCGAACAAAGTCATTGATCGAGTTCCTAGTCCACATATCAAGCACCCTGAGCATCTTACATTAGATGGATATGTGGGCTATATAAAACTACACTATTATTACTATTATGTCTATCTATTTCGATTTAGTGATACTAAAATTTTGCAACAATGTTACGTTGACGCAATCTCGCAATGACGTCATAATAATCAGTAATAAATCAAGTGGGGCCGAGCCGACACTAAATTTTTCAAAATTATTTTTAAAAAATGGAAAAAACAAAGGAAAATTATAATTAGAATTTAGGTCTAAGAGTGCCATTTCCGGCAATCTAGAGGTGTCATAATCATAATTTTTCTTTCCTCAGCTCCAACAATGGTGGGGCTGAGGTGATCTACTCTCCCAAATTGTGAAATCAAAATGCTAACTAATGTTTTATGTGCTCCCTATCTCCCTAGTCTTGTTTGATTGTAAATTAGACGGTATTATTTCCACTCACAAATAGTGTAGTCGCAATATTGCTTACACAAAAGTGAAATTCAAAAAGAGGAGAAAAGCAAAAACCTCTTAATTGATTTTAAAAGTACATGCAAAAAGGCTAAATTAATGACTGTTTTAAGTTTGTTATTTGTTTTTCATGGTTTGAATAAGTCACTAGCTAATCAGTAGATAATAAATCATTATTTTTTATGAATGTTTTTGCACGAAATATATAAGCGGGCATAATTATGAATAAAAGGATAATTTTAAAAACTTTTATGATGAGTATTTCAGTGGCAGATTCAAGGGGCCCAGCCGGCCCACCATCCCTAATTTTTTTTTTTATTGTGTTGTTTTGAGACCGGATTCTGGTTGGAGTTTATACATAATAAAAGTTTATTTGAGAGTCGTGTTACAACATTGTGAGCTGTGTTTGTATTTTATATGTCAAAGAGGGATTCCTAGTCATTTCTTTACCGCTCGGAAATACGTCAAGTAGGAATTCATGACAAGTCGAATATATTTTAATTTGCATTTATTTCCCTAAATACAGCACAGGCCTACATCAAAACAAAGTCTGGTTTTAAACGCCAAAGGAATGATGGGCTAGGAGCTGAGTTCGTTTGCAGGGCCAGTGAGTTATGACTTTATATTTACCTCATGCTACCAGTGGCGGATCCTAGTCCATGGAGGGACTTTAATAGATAGAAAGTCCATTTACCTCATCCATGCCATGTTTATGATTATGGCACCTCTGATTGCCGGAAATGGCACTTGACTCTGAGACTTAAATTTGAATATAATTATTTTTTTCCATTTTTGGTTTTAATATTGAATTTAGAGGCCCCGCCCCACCACTGGCTACTGCATGTGGATTGACTTAATAAAAATATTATTTGAACATATATTAGGCCTATATAGACCTAGGAAAATATTATGCATTAATAATACACACCTGATAATTGATGTTGTATTGTACGTGGCCTGTTTCTGTGTTTTTGTGGTCATGTTGCTTTAGACTGGACAACAATTCACATAATCTGGTTACATCGTGGTATACGATTGACTGACATTGTACGTGACTCAGGCAGAATTGTGTACATTGAGTTGCACTGCCAGCTTTGGTGGTCAGAATAGTAGTGTCTTCGGCTGACATCGGTCGAAATCCATATTTTGTAAATATCACAGATTTCGTACAAGAAATTAAACCTATTTACAAACAAATAAGAGTTTATTATCATTGTAATTATAATTATCATTATAATTTGTTATTGTATTATGACTTCATCCCAAAAGAGAAGAAAAGTACAACATCTAAATTTAGTTGGTTATACCAGGGGACAGTGAAGTAATTTCACTGTTCCCTGGTTATACTACCAGGAAATAGTTATACAAATGCACGTTTTAACTATTCACAAGCCTGGATCAGCCGTAGCCAAATGCGCCGATATCTGTACAACTAGCTAATAATTCCATTTTTGCTGAAAATATGCAGTGAGTGATTTAAAGATTTTAAATTGCTAGACTTACCTTTATTTGCAGGAATATTTGCAGCAAAGATGGCCAAAATGAGCATGAATTTGTAGAACATCATTGTCAACTTGCTGTATATTGGTCGCACGTCCAGTATCGATGACTTCCAAATAGGCATCTACTTGGAGCGTAGTTAATAGTTAAGACGCATCGCATTGTAAACACAAAATTGTATCAAAATACATGAACAAAACATTTTTTTTAAAAACCAGTGGAGCACGCAATCTAACAGTCAGTGACATTTGATCACAAGAATCACACCCGTATTTCATACGACTGAAATATAGGAACTTTTTGTTGATGAGCTATGCTTGATACAATATTACAACATATGTTTATATGCGAGCACTGTTATTATTATTTATATTTGTTTATATTGTGTTTACGATGCTATGCAGCAAACTTTATTTTAATATTATAACAATTTCTCAGCTGCGACCTACAAGCTAGTTGTATGCAAGAAATTGTCTGGGAGTTGATCTGCATGTTTGCGCCTTATCGCTATTTTCTTTATTTTCGCGCCCTCTATGTTTGGTTGACAAAACTCAGTTTTTATAACGATGAAAATATTGTTTGATCGTACTTTTAAGGATTGGCTCTGAATAATTAATCATGCGGTTGTTTGTTTTTCAGTGTATTACATAGTATTTGGGCCCTTTTTTGATAGCGCTTTTCTATATTTCTAAGAACAATCCTTTTATAACGGGAGTTTCTGAGTACTTACAAGTTCAATGAGCATGTTGCTGCACTTTAATTAGTTTGGAACGTGCAATTGAAAGAATTAAGTGCAACATGTTTTTCTCATGCCTAGGCCTATGTACAGTACATAAATAATCCATGTAAAAACAGTCAATTATTTATAAAGATATTCAAATTTTGTCTACAGGTGCAGTAATCATACATTTTCTTAGCTCTACTTCAGCCGTACGTGGTTGGGACTGAGGTAAAAAAGAAATATAAAATAGTACCTAGATGGGAAGACACTTTTATATACAGTAGTAAAATTCATCATCATCACATCACCAGGCAAAATAAAGCGTCAATAAATTTCTCATGATCTCTTATTAACGACTTTCGGCAAACATAGAGATCTAATTAATACTGTACATGTGATGTAAAATTAATCATCATTGATCGTATGTTTCTTTGTTGTTTATGTACTTTCGTTACCATGAGAAAAACTAATTTCATATTTTAATTTGACAATAAACCTATCTTGTATCTAATATGAATCGCTGCGATTGAAATATAGCAACATAATTGTTTTCGATTTATCTACTTTACCTACTTCATGAGCCGAAAACCAATTTATCTTTACACATTTTTTATCATACTTGTATAATAAAGGCACGCACTCGAGTCGTGTATTACAGTTAATTCAGATGTTTGTGGAACGAAAACACCGGTATCTTGTTATAAAATATGAAGTTATCTGCCTGTAAAGTGGTCTTTCGTTAAAATCTG